CTCTCTCTCTCTCTCTCTCTCTCTCTCTCCCCGTCCCTCAGGCAATGTGAGAGTGTGATAGCGTCTGTCTGTCTGTCTGTCTGTCACTCCCCTGTCAATTATCGCGTTTCTCCACCCGTTTACTCTTCCATCTTACTCCTTGTCTCCCATTCTCTTTGTCTCTTTTTCTCTCTCTACACCTTCTTTATCACCTGTTCCTTATTAATTACTCTCTTTATTGACTTGATACCTGTGTGTTTAGGCTTTCGTAAACATTTGAATAGAGATATACAGAGAGAGAAGTGAGAGAGAGAGTGAGAGTGGGGGGTAGAGAGAGAGAGAGAGAGAGAGAGAGAGAGAGTTCACTTTAAAGAGGATCGAGTGTAAGGACTGACGTTTGGTCCCGCTCCTCATCCTTTCATGACCTGAACACATGCTGTCTCTTTCTCTCTCTCTCTCTCTCTCTCACCCCACTCTCTCACCCTCTCTCTTCTCTCTCTCTCTCTCTCTCTCTTCTCTCTCTCTCTCTCTCTCTCTCTCTACCTGTTTCTTGGTCTGTCTGTTTCTTATATATTCTATCTTACTGTCCCTGTCTTTCTGTCTGCCTATCGATCTATTAATCAATCTATCACTATCTATCTATCTATCTATCTATCTATCTATCTATCTATCTACCTCCTCACCACACACCTTCACTTTCATAACCTAACCTAACCTAACCTAACCTAACCTATCCTAACCTAACCTATCTAACCTAACCTTAACCTAACCTAACCTAACCTATCTAACCCCTAACTATCAACTAACCTAACCTAACCTAACCTATCTAACCTAACCCTAACCTAACCTAACCTAACCTAACCTAACCTATCCTATCCTAACCTAACCTAACCTAACCTAACCTAACCTAACCTAACCTATCCTAACCTATCCTAACCTAACCTAACCTAACCTATCCTAATATTAATGTTTATAACAGTACCTTACCCAACACCTGCCAGCAATCTGTACTGTAAATAAAGTCAAAACAACATCCAGGAGAAACTTTGTAACATGAGTAATACGTGTTTGTTGAAGTTGTATGTTGTATGTTAGTGTAGTTTAGTGTATGTTGTGTGTATGTAGTTTGTGTATTTTTATGTTGTATATTTTGGTGTTAGGATGAGGGTGAAAGATTTGGTTAATAGGAATTAGTGGTGTGCGTGAATGAGTGGATAGCATTATTTTCTTTTTGTTGTGTGGTGGTTGTTGTTGTTGTGGTGGTGGTGGTGAGTGGTGGTGGTGGTGGTGGTGGTGGTGTGGTGTGTGTGGTGATTGGTGATAGATGTTATGGGTTGGTGTTGTTATGGTCTCTCTCTCACCCAGACAACGAAATCTACACCTCTCTCCCACACAGACAGACAGACGACACACAAATGAATCCTACCTCCCACCTCTCTCTGTGTCTCGTTAGAAATACTTGTGTCTGAAATATATACTAGACCATTAGAAAGAGGGAGGTCTGTCAGCCTTCTTTACTGTGTCCGCGCTGCAAGACGTAGCTGGGACCATTTGTCTCAGCTCACACCATCTGTCTTAGCTGGGACCATCATTCTTAGCTGAATCATACCTTTTAGCTCGGTTTATGTATAAGTCTCAGCTCACAGTGTCATCTCTCTTAGCTGGTGTTATATTGTCTCTCTTTGTCTCTCTGTCTCTTTCACTTTGTCTCTCAGCTAACGATATTTGTGTCAATTTATGTCATCTTTCTCAGATTATCGTCTCTTTTTCTCAGCTGTTTCTATATCTCTCAGCTAACTCTCTCTCAACTACCACCATCTCTCTCAGCTACCATCTCTCAGATAATCCCTCAGCAACCCTACAGAGGGCATACTCACCTCAGGGTCTGACACAAGCCAGCCTCCTACTCCTTTGTGCAACTTCCGGTTCTCTCTCTCTCTCTCTCTTGTATGATAGAGTTAGTGAGTTGTATTAATTTTGACGTTTTATTCCATTAAAATATTTGTGTATGATAACTTATTAATTTTGGTTTATGTTGTTGTTGTTTGTTGTTGATGTTGTGATTTTGATTTGTTATTGTAGTTAGTGGTATTTATTGTTATTGTTTGTTGCTGTTATTATTATTGTTGTTATTGTTTTTGGTATTGTTATTTGTAGTAGAGTAGTTGTTGTTGTTGTTGTTGTTGTTGTTGTTGTTGTTGTTGTTGTTGTTGTTGTTGTGCTTTGCAGTATCACAAGAAAGCTTAAAAGGTAAAAAATCATTATCACCTTCACCACCACTTCACCACCACCACCACGTCATCACCACCACCATTTCACCATCACCAACATCAATACCTCACCACCACCATCATCATCACACCGTCATCACCACCACTTCAACTATCACTCACCACCACCACCACCACTCATCATCATCACCACCATCATCACCATCACCACCATCATCATCATCACCACCAAACCTAACAGACACACGTGAACAAACTTTCAGTATTCATCACTCAGACTAATTTTATCTAAACTAACTAATTGAACTTTGTAAATTAGCGTTATTTTAGCGGACACGTTTCCGGATTACCAGATTGGGGTGGGTGGAGGGGTGGGGTTGTGGTGTTATAAAGGTTATTATTTTCTTGTTTATTAATGGTTGTTGTATGAAATGATGTAAGGGTTGTTTGAGTGAGTGTCATAGGAATACATATAATAATAATAATAATAATCATACACACACACACACACACACACACACACACACACACACATACACACACACACACACACACACACACACACACACACACACACACACACACACACACACACACACACGTACACATACACACGCAACTGGGACACAGAGAGACGTAATTATACCAATTTTATGTACACATGTAGATATTTTTGTGGCCTTTGTGCTTGTGTGCAATTACAGGTCAGGTGAATGTTAGGTCACCCCAATTAGTAGGTGCCCAGGTACTTCGTTTATGTTAAAATAGGTAGAGGATAAATTGGGTACAGTTCTGCTACACAAAATCAGCTAAATTGGGTCTCGGTGTGTGAAGATGTTTGGTAGGAAATGGGTAGTATAATTTTTGGTATTCTATTTTGTGTAAGTAAATTGGGTATAATTGGGAACTTTGGGTGTTGATATTTTTACCAATTACAGAGGGTTACTGGTGCTATTTAAACGAAAGAAATAGGAATTAATTGTCATGAAAATAGTATTTATATAAGGTGTCTTTCAAACGGTGTCACCCAATTACAAGTGCTACGAGTCCTATTAACGTAAAATTGGGAGGAAAAAAATATTATCCCACATCAAATTGGCATCGAAATAATTAGATAACACACCTGTCTTTTTTCCCAATTAGGAATCACAGTACCTGTCAATTTTTCCCCAATTAAGAACCACAAAATTGTACCATTACTACCAAAGAAAAAAATAGGAAAACGGCATAAAAAAAAATTGTAATCTGATTAACTCTGCCAAAGACACTGTACCAATTTATCTGACCAATCCGCACCCCAATAACACAATCACGTTCAATCACCTCCAATCACCTGTCACTAACTAGCCAATTAAAGCAACAGGAGCAGTACAACACGCGACAAAGACACAGTAACTGGGAATGAACCTCAGCTACTGCAAGTCAGAACAACACGGGAATTTGGCCCCACCTGCATTGGACACGGGGTGGGGGGAGGGGAGGAGGGGGATTGGGTGGGGAGAGGGAAGAGGGGAGAGAAGGGAGGAGGGTAGGGGAGGGGAGAGAAGGGAGGAGGTTGGGAGGGATATTGGGTAGGAAGGAGGAGAAGGAGGTGTGAGTGGGAGGGAGGACACGACATACTCACGACACACACTTACGAGACACACTACGATACATATCACCACACACTCACGACACACTCTGTCTCTCAACATCATCACATAAAGGTAAAGCAATCCTTGTTGTGGGGTCTAGATGGTGTGTGGTGTGTGGTGTGTGGTGGTAGTAGTAGTAGTAGTGGGTAGTAGTGGTAGTAGTGAGTAGGTAGGTAGTGGTAGTAGTGGTAGTAGTAGTGGTAGTAGTGGTAGTGGTGGTAGTGGTAGTAGTAGTGGTAGTAGTAGTGGTAGGATAGCTACATATGTATTAGGATATTTAATATTAAGATAATTAAATGGTGGCGAAGGTGTGGCTATTGGGGAGGCGGTAGTGGAAGTGGTAGTGGTAGTAGTAGTAGTGGTAGTAGTGGTAGTAGTGGTAGTAGTAGTGGTAGTAGTGTGTGGTAGTAGTAGTGGTAGTGGTGTACCTTCCTTCACCTGTGAGTGGATGATGCATTAATCTTTGCAGGTGGGACAAGGTTGGGTTTTACCTGTGTGTGTGTGTGTGTGTGGTGTTTATGTGTGTGTGTGTGTACAAAGGTATGTCTGTCTGTCATGTCTGTACCCCACACACACACACACACACACACACACACACACACACACACACACACTAATTTACATAAACACCAGAACTTAAGCTCCCAAAATTAGAATCCCAAATTAGCTGTTCGGTAATTATGTATGTATGTCTGTAAGGTTCTGCACCTCCATTCCCACGGTGATTGAGACTCCATTCCAGCATTACAAGAAATTAATTCCAATCCCGTTATCCTCGAAGCGATAATTTCCAGCGCTAATGTTTAATGACATGCAAAAAAACCGGTTTCTTGAGATGAGGAATATAGTTAGGTTAGGTTAGGTTAGGTTAGCTTAGGTTAGGGTAGGTTAGGTTAGCTTAGGTTAGGTTAGGTTAGGTTAGGTTAGGTTAGGTTAGGTTAGGTTAGTTAGGTTAGGTTGGTTAGGTTAGGTTAGGTTAGGTTAGGTTAGGTTAGGTTAGGTTAGGTTAGGTTACTTTATACTCTAAGTTGTGATAATTCTATACCAATTATTTCAGTGTTTATATTACTAGATTTGACTCATTCCTGTTATTATAATTCCAGTCATGAGTCTTGAAGGTCAGAGATGAGGATTATCAAATGTCAGGTGTGTTATTATGAGCGTGATAATTGCCAGGTAAGATTAATTACAGGTGAGGATAACCAGATTTAGGTTAACACTGACGACGAGAGATTCCAAGCATGTGTTCCAAGAATGGCTAGGAGAGAGAGAGAGAGAGAGAGAGAGAGAGAGAGAGAGAGAGAGAGAGAGAGAGAGAGAGAGAGAGAGAGAGGAGAGAGAGAGAGAGAGATTCCAGACATATGTTCCAGAAGCGGTGAGGAGGAGAGAGCGAGAGACAGAGAGAGATAGAGACTGAAAGTAAATGCCTGAAACCTTCCTGGAACGCTAGTGTGTCTCTCGCAGCTGACAGTTTACCTTCGTGTTACGGCAGCAGTAGTCAGCGAAGAAATTCCAATTCTGGCATTAAGAGAAGTGGTATAAATTCCCAGCATTGATTTGGCCATCCAGATTTGCACAGAAGCTCTCAGAAACCCCCCAGAGCTCTCAAAACCCACGGAATCTCTCAGAAACACTCAGAAGCTCTCTCAGAAGATCTCAGAAACTCTCAGCAACACCCAAAAGCTTTCAGAAGCACTCAGAAGCTCTCAGAAGCCCTTATAAACCATCAGAAACCATCGAACCTCAGAAACCTCAGAAACCCTCTAAAGTCCTCAAGAGTCCTAGAAGCCCACAGAAACCCGCTCTCAGTAGCTCTCAGAAATCTTCAGAAGACCTTAGACTCCCCCTAAGCTCTCGGAAAGAGCTATTGTAAACGCGGTAATTCTAGATAAGGTTTACTAATGCTCTCTGATTTTCCATTCAGGAGAGATACAGAGGGAGTAATGAAGAGGAGAGAGGAGAGAGAGAGAAGGGAGATGAAGGGAGAGAGAGAGAGAGAGAGAGAGAGAGAAGAGGAGAGAGAGAGAGAGAGAGAGAGAGAGGAAATAAGCAGGTGAGCGTCTCAGGTGTTGACGTGTCTGGCCTTAAGTGGCGACAACAACAACCAACAAAAGCACAAAAACAATAACAAAAAAACAAAAATAACGACAAAAAATAACAACAAAAACAACAGCAAACAACAACAAAACAAAAATTACAAAAATAAAGCAAAAACAACAACAAAATAACAACAAAAAAAAACAACAAATAACAAAAAAACTCCCCACCACCAACAACAAAAACAACAACAAAAACCCACCACCACCAAAACAACAAAAAACTCAACCACCAGCAACAAAAAAAAAACTCCACCACCAACAACAACAAAACCAACAATATGCTAGCTAGTCTAATTTAGGTTAAATTAGCGTTAGGTTAGGTTAGGTTAGGTTAGGCTCTGTGAAGTTATATTAATCTTCACTTGAAATAAAGGCCTGTGGGTGAGGGGCTAAGCTGGGTGAGGGGCTGAACTGTGGGGGGCTAAGCTGGAGGGGGCTAAGCTGGGTGAGGGGGCTAAGCTGGAGGGGGCTAAGCTGGGTAGGGGGCTAAACTGTGGGGGTAATCTACGTGATCCACATAGACTAATGACTTTTTTCCACACAATAAATTTTCCCATAATTCGTCTTCCCTTTGTGTGTCTGTCAGTCTTTCTTTCCTGTTCCTAAAGTCGTTCGTTAATTGGTTGTTTCTGTCTGTAATCATCGTCATTCGTCAGTGTCTATGTGGATTCTCATTAATTAGACTCAAAGGGATTTTATTTATTTTGTTATTTATTTTTTAGTTACTCCTGTTGTTATTATCCGTTTTTTTTCAGTTTTATCTATTTGTATTTTTTATTATTATTATGTTTGGTGGTGAGGTGGTGGGTAGGGGTGGGGAGGGTAGGGTGGGGTGGAGGTGGGGTGGGAGGTGGGGTGGGGTGGGGTTGAGGTAGGGTGGGGTGGGGGTGGGGTGTGGGAGGGTGGGGTGGGTTGAGGGTGTGGGGTGGGGGTGGGGGTGGTGGGTGGGGTGGGGTGGGGTGTGTCTCAGAGTGGTCAATGGTCAAGGTGCCCAAAATATTCACACCTCCTACTCATCTCTCGTCTTGTTATTGTCTCTCATTCACACACACTCACACTACTTCCACGCTCATACTCTCTCACTTAAGACACTTTGTTCTCATACCTTCCACATACACTCACTCTGAGACACTTCACACACACACACACACACACCACACACACACACACACACGCTTTACTTTACACATTTATACACATATTCTCTCTCTCTCTCTCTCTCTCTCTCTCTCTCTCTCTCTCTCTTCTCTCTCTCTCTCTCTCTCTCTCACTCCTATATCTTGTTATTCTCTCTATTTCTAGTTCTCTCCACTGTCTTTCTGTGTCTGTCTGTCTGTCTGTTTGTCTGTCAGAGGGGCCTGAAAGGGAGCCGTGTGTGTGTGTGTGTGTGTGTGTGTGTGTGTGTGTGTGTGTGTGTGTGTGTGTGTGTGTGTGTGTGTGTTTGAAGACGCAATTTCTGTCACAACAATGGGTGAACAACTACTGTAGAAGAGGAAACTCATTTCTTCCGTTGACGTGAAATTGATTCCTTGTGTTGAAGAATTCCTCCTCTGATAACACGGACTCAGAGACGGTGATGGTGACGATTGTGTTGATGATGCAATTGCAGGTGGGTGTTAGAAGTAAGTAAGTCGTTTGCAACATTTGAAGGATAGATTATAGTTGAAATATAGAGTTTGATAACGTGGGAAGAAGTGATGCAGTGATGGATTGTGTGTTGATGGTGCAATTGCAAAGGTGAAGTGATAGGTTGAATTGAGATAATTTTTTAGTTGCAACGCGAGTCAAAGGCGGAAGTGGTGGTGGCAATAGTGTGTGTTGATGATGCAATTGCAAAGATGAAATAACAGATCAAATTTGAAAGAAAGAAAAAAATATTACTTGCAACATTATATTGACCGTTTAAACTTGACATAAAATGACTTTGATAACAAAAAAAAAAAAATAAGAAGTGATAATTATGTGTTGAAAATGCAATTGCAGAAATTATATACTTAGTCAAAGATGTAGATAATATAGTTGATGGAAGTGGTAAACATGTTGCATTACCTGTGTCTGTTGATTAATTTATTGCAACGTTATTACGGGATTAATTTGTATCATTAATTGACATAAATTACCTGACAATTAGCCCACCTCAGCTTATTTCACCTGCTGATTAAACACCCTAACGCTACCTTGTGGGGTTAGGTTAGGTTAAGTTAGGTTAGCGTTAGGGTGGACTAGGTTAGTTTACTTTAAATTGGGATGTTATGTTAGCATGAGGTTCAGTTACTGTTAGTTTAGGTTAGTGTAAATTGTGTTAGGCTAGGTTAGTTTAAATTGGCTTAGGTTAGGTTAGGTTAGGCTAGTTTAAAGTGGGTTAGGTTAGGTTACGTTAGGTTAGATTAGGTTAGGTTAGGATAGGATGGGATAGTTCACTAATATTTTTAGCGAAATAACCTAGGAATTACCGTGTTGACAGAGAGTGATATATGTCCGAGTGTTATGTAAGGACTAACACAAATACATTCACTTCACCATTACATTGAGGATAACGTTTCGAGACAGACCGTGAAGTCGTTATTTCATGGAGAATTTAATACTGCATAGTGTTGTCGCAATATTTATTTGGTAATGGCAGGGGTGAGGCGCTGGCAGGGGTGAGGCACTGGCAGGGGTGGTAAAGTGAGCGAAAGTGAGAGAATGAGAAAGTATGTGAGTGTGAGAGTGAGAAAGAGTGTGAAAATAAGAGAATATGTGAGTGAAAGAGTTGAAAATAGAACACCTGTACTCATCCCAACAGGTGGAGGTGTATAAAGACCATTTACAGCATTTACCTGGACGGATTACACTAAGAATTTACCTTTGTTGACACAGAGAGAGAGAGAGAGAGAAACAGAACGCCAAACGAAGTGTAAAAGATGAAAATATTTTTACGGTGAATAGAAAAAAAAAATAATAATACACAACTCAAGAATGAAAGTGAATAACAGAGAAAATTAAACGATAAATAATAAGATAGAACAAAAAAAACAATAATATACATAACTCAACACTAGAATACAATAACGGGACACATACATTATACAACATTATACAACTGAAGAATCACATTTCACTACATTACAAGAGGAACTGGTGAGTGCATATCGAAAACACACTTCCATTATACACTTAAGTGGAGGGACGGAAGGAAACGCACTCTACACACACACACACACGCACTCACTCATTTCTTGTATACACTCACTGGCCAGATTGCAATCAACTTGACGATCGATTCCTTGGCGGAGGTGTGGTGGTGGTTTGGTAAGGCAACAGAGAGAGAGAGAGAGAGAGAGAGAGAGAGAGAGAGAGAGAGAGAGAGAGAGATGGGGAAGAAATAGGTAGACGAAGAAAGAAAGAGTGAGAGGAAGAGAGAGAACGAGAGATAGATAGAGAGAGAGGGAAGAAACAATTGAGTGAGAGGAAGAGAAAGTAAATGTGTGTGTGTGTGTGTGTGTGTGTGTGTGTGTGTGTGTGTGTGTGTGTGTGTGTGTGTGTGTGTGTGTGTGTGTGTGTGTGTGAAAATATTATATTTGAGCGCTAACAATGACTGGGGCATCACCAATAAATATTCGTTTTCAATATTAGATTGTGAGGGGTTGGCTTGACAATGCAATTCCAATGTTGTTGTTGTTGTAGTAAAAGCCGCCACGGGGAGGAGACACAGAGACGGTGAGAGAAAGTAAGAGAAAGACGGGGATGGAGAGGAGAAACAGGGAATGGTGAGAGAAAGAAAGAGACAGTGAGAGAAAGAAGGATATGGAGGTAGACAGATAGATAGAGTAATTTATACATGTTTGGGGAAATAGAGTAAATCGACGGAGAGAGAGAGAGAGAGAGAGAGAGAGAGAGAGAGAGAGAGAGACTCATTAGTAAACCACCCTGACAGGTCGTCAAGGTCAGCTGGTCCCTGAGGCGAAGATGTCAAATGAATCATTCAGCATCTGGTGGTTGAGGTCCACCTTGAAGTGTGAGGCCAAGACGTTACTGAGAGAGAGAGAGAGAGAGAGAGAGAGAGAGAGAGAGAGAGAGAGAGAGAGAGAGAGAGATACTGGCATCATTTATGTTAAAAAGTGATTTAGAAAGTTGATAATTGCGTAAAATATGTCATATTATCTATGAATTCACACCAAACGATACATAGCTCAATAAATACCAAATGCTCCCTTTCAAAACAATACCGCCGCCATTACGTAGACCAAAAACAAACGCTTCCGTCCGTCGCTACAACCGCTTCAATGAGCCAATTTCGAGGGTTAGGTTTAGCCCGCCATTCCCTGACAGAGACATACCTCCTGGTAATTAAGCTTCAGCCATTAGCAGTAAGAGGATTGCCAGCCACAATTAGCCAGTTAAGCACCACGCGGGTCTGGTCCGACAACGCCTTCAAATGACGGTCTGGAAATGGTCTAATTTTGTTGACTTTCGGAGACCTGTCCTTAGACCGTGAAAATCCTCTAAGACCTGCTGGTGTGTTGGTGCTGTGTGTTGGTGAGTGTTGGTGTGGGTGTTGGTGAGTGTTGGTGCTGTGTGATGGAGTGTTGGTGTGGGTGATGGTGAGTGTTGGTGTGGGTGATGGTGGTGTTGGTGGTGGTGTTGTTGGTGTTAGTGTTATTATTATTATCAGTAGTAGTAGTAATAGTAATAGTAGTAGTAGTAGTAGTAGTAGTAGTAGCATAATTATTTATCATCATCATCATCGTCATCATCTTCCTCACTTTGGGCACAATTTTAACACACAGT